AATGCAAGGTCAAGTCAGGGGATCTTGTTCCCCATATCCGTAGTATGGGGCTCTACTTCTAAGTAGGACCCCCCGCCTCACCTTTACCTTCACCTTCACCCTCCTTTATTCATTCCAAACCCGCCCACCCTCAGACTCATTCGCGCTCAGTGACACTCAGATTTGCCCAGAGTGTCTGGCCCAGACTCAGATTCTTCCTTACTCCTTATTCTATTCCTATGCTATGCCAACTCGCCGGCGGATAACGCCCCCCATCTGGGCCCACCCGTCCTAATTGCGACCAAAAAAAGCCAAAGTCAACCTCTTTTCCCTTTAACATGGATATTTTGTTGTCGACGTCGCCAAAATTCAGGAGTGAAGCGCGGCGTACACCCGCGCGAGAGGGCGAAATGCTGCTCTTGTCTCGGCGTCGCGTTTATCTGTTCTGAAACTTGAGCTCCTGTTCGGGTGCGGCGCAGCCTGTAGGGCTGCCTGGGTAGAATGTCCGTTTCGTAGGAGTGGACGTGTCTCTTTTGAGAGCCTCCATATCTTCGCGATGTAGCAGGCACGGCGTTTGAGCCATCCAAATGGGATGCCGACCAGGGGCGTATCACAGGTCCGTTCGCGCCAAATTGTTGGGACCCTCAGGTAGAATGGCCGTTTCGATGGGATAGACGTGAGGGGTGTTTCACCGGCCCGTTCGCGCCCAGATTGTGGGGGACCTCTCAGGTATAATGTCGTTTTGACGGGGTGAACGCGTCTCCTTTGCGAGCCGCAAGATTATCGCGACGCAGTCGACCAGGGGTATATCACAGATCCGTTTGCGCCCAGATTGTCGTGACTCCTCTGGTCGAACCACCGTAGTCGCGATGTAGCAGGCACGGCATTTAGGCCACCCAAGGTGTGGTGTCGACCAGGAGGGTATCATGGGCACGTTCGCGCCCAGATTGTGGGGCAGCCTGGGTAGAATGGCCGTTTTGGTTGAGTGGACGTGTCTCTTTCGAGAGCCCCCATATCTTCTTCGAGAGAGCCCCCATATCTTCGAGATATAGCAGGTCTGTCGCAGGAACCATTCAAAGGGGGTGTCCATCAGGGGTATATCAAATCCCCTTTGCAGGAGAGTCGACAGCTGCGGAGGCGGCGTGCGCAATGTGGGAAGGTGGCGATCTTGCAGAACGGAGCTCTCTTGCATAATATCGCCTCCGTCATCGTTATCGTTATCGTTGTGGTTATCGTCGTCGTCGTTGTCGTCGTCGTCGTCGCCGTCGTCGTCGTGGTTGTCGGCTGCTGCGGCGCCGGCGCAGGTTGCGTCGCCGTCGTCGCCCGTCGCCGTCGTCGCTCGTCGCCGTCGTCACTGCTATCGCTGCCGTCGCCGAGGCCGTCGTCACCGTCGCCAGTATCGTCGACGTCGTCGCGACCGCCGCCGCCGTCGTCGACCCCGAGACGCCCGAAGATCACCCAGGAGAGTCAGAATGGGCCTCCAGGACGGCATGTAAACCCCCAAGATAGCCGAAGAGGGCCCGCAGAGGGCCCCGAGACTCGCAGAGGGGCCCCGAGAGGCCCCGAAGACGGCCAGGCATGGGGTATCGTCGTCGTCGCCGCCGTCGTCACCATCGTCGCCGTCGTTGTCGCCGTAGCCGTTGTCGCCATTGCCCTTGCCGTCGCCGTCGCCGTCGCCGCCGCCGTCGCTGCCGTCGTCAACGTCGTCGTCGTCGTCGTCATCGTCGTCGTCGTCGTCGTCGTCGTCGTCGTCGTCGTCGTCAACGTCGCCGTCATTGGCGTCGCCCTTGTGGACAGTTGTCGCCGTCAGTCGCCGTCGGCGTCGCCGTCGTCGCCGTTTCCGTCGACGACGTCGTCGCGACTGTCGCAGCCGCCGTCGGCGTCGACGTCGTCGCCATCGCCGTCCTCGGCGGCCCCTCCTCTCCCTCGGCTTCTTCTCAGCTCTTCCTCGGCTTCTTCTCCTCTTCCTCCACCTCCTCCTCCTCCTCTTCCTTCTCTTGCTCTTCCCTGTCTCCTTGCTCTCTCTCTGCTCCTTCTCCTGCTTATCCCTTCCTCCTCCTCCGTCCCCGCCCCCGTCCCCCTGCCTCTTCCCTTTTCCTACCTCTCCCGGTTTCCCTCCCTCCCCCCTGGCTCTCCTTCCCCTCTGTCCCCCTCGGATCCTCCTCGCCCCCCCCCGTTCTCGTCGTCGTCGTCGTCGCCGTCGCCGTCGCCGTCGCCGTCGCCGTTAGTGGTCGCCGCCGTCGTCGTCGTCGTCGCCGTCGTCGCCGCTGTCTTCGTCGCTCGCCGTCGCCACCGCCGCCCCCGGGCGAGCGCGCAGGCCTGCCGCGCAGGCCCTGCCCGCGATGGGGGCGGCGGCGGCGGACGAGAAGCCCTGGCGGCACGCCATGGCCCGAACGGGCCCAATGGCGCCGATGAGGCGCCGCACCGTCGTCGTCGTCGTCGTCGTCGTCGTCGTCGTCGTCGTCGTCGTCGTCGTCGTCGTCGTCGTCGTCGTCGTCGTCGTCGTCGTCGTCGTCGGTCGTCGTCTGGTGTCGACGGTCGACCTGGTCGTCGTCGTCGTCGTCGACGTCGTCGTCGTGGTCGTCGGTCTCGTCGTCGTCGGCGTTGTTCTCGTCGATCGTCGCTCGTCGTCGTCGTCGCTCTTCGTTTACTCTCTGGGGGGGGGAGGGGGATGGTCATGGGAAGAGCGGGGGCGGAGCGGAGCGGAGCGCACCTGTGTCCGCACAGCGGGGCCATGCTGGGAGCTGCCTGGGAGCTGCGCGCGAGCCTAGGAAGCAGGAACCGCGCAAACGCACGCGGCGCACATGTCGGGAGCGGCCAGAAAAGCCGCTGCCGGACACGCTGCAACCTCCACCAGGGAGCTGCGGCGCTCCCTGGCCGGTAGCCGTGGCTGTGCAGCTGGCCACTCCAGCCAGCACGCCAGGGACGAACAGCGCCCAAGCCACGAAGCGGTGGCGACCTCCTCCGCCGCGCGGGCCCGCGGCGCGCGCCCGTTCTTCGTCCGCCTCCACCCTCCGACATGTCGGGCGATGTGCTGCTGCAGCACGCCTGGCTGCCGACGCAGCCGGAGTCGCAGAGCCTCGCTGACTTGGGCGCCGCCTTCCGCAGCCTCGAGCGGCGCGTCGCGGAGGCGTCGGCCTTTCGCACCTGCACAGGCGAGGGCCGGCCTGGCTCAGATCGAGGCCGAGGTGCACGTGCTGGCGAGGGCGCTGGACTCAAAGGACCTTGTCGCCCTCGAGGAGCTGGAGAGGCAGACTGGGCGCGAACCGAACTCCAACGAGGCCTTGCGTGCGCCGCGAAAGCGGCTGCTGGCGGCCACTGAGGGCTCGCAGGCCTGGGCTGGCGCGCCGGCCCAGGCTGGCGGCGAGGGCGAGGCACATGGAGCGGGAGTGGGGCAATGCTTCGGTCAAGCTCGGCCGGTGCGGGTGCTGCGAAGCGGATGCCGAGGACGAGGACAAGGAGTTGGCCGCGCGGCCTGCCTCGTGCATCATCGCCAAGGCGCGCGCGCAGTATTTGTGGCGCGCCGCCTCGCGACGCACGCGTTGCCGATTCTCCTGCTGACGACATCTGCGTTGGCCGAGGCGCCTCAGGCCGTGCTGGGACAGCCGTCGACGGTCGTGCAAGACGCGGTGCTCCTGGCGGCCATGGTGCCGGGGGGCGTTGATATGGATGAGCCCTACGCGGAGCGGGAGTGGGGCGACGCTCCCCTGCAGCAGGACGACGATGCTATGACTTCCAAGAGCACGAAACAGGCTACTAAGGACATGACGGAGCACATGGTCTCCGCCGATGTCGGCGCCGATTTGGCGCCCTGCGGCGGCTCTGGTGGACGCGGTAGTTCTGTTTTTTTGGTCCACTGGGGGCGCCCATGTTCTGTCGCGCCCCCTGACTCGTTTCTATGGTCGCAGGTCAATCTGTCTTCCTCTTCATTCTTTTGCCTTCCCCCTGCTGTCCTCTTGTGCTTGCTCTCTACCACCGCAGGGCGCACCGCTCGCGACACGCAGTCCAACTTTGAATTTGAACTCGATCTTCGGGAATCCAGGGGCGGACGTGGTAATGGCACGGCGCCCGTAACCCACATGCACGCACGGTTCCTCCCCGCCTCCGGCCTCGTCTCCCCCCGAATGTGCCAAGCAGATTCTCGTCTTCTCCTGCCCTCTAGCACACTCTATTGTTGCTTGCTCGCACGACCCCCCGTCCCCACGGCCCCAGACACTCGCCCGACCCCGTGAGACGGATGGCCGACTCCCCGACCCCACGCACGAGGCCGACCAGAGACCACCGCGGCGAATGCCAGCGCTGCAGTCGC